TTCAAAGAAGACTCATTTTGTAGCAAACAAAGACCATCAGAGAAATCCACAAATGGCCAAAATGTATAAGACTAATTGCTAAATGGTATCATTAATAAAAAAAAAAAAAACCCAGAGCCAGATATTAGGGTGAAAACTGAGAGATCAGAGCCAGAGCCAACCTCACCTTACCAACTCCTCAGTCTCCAGAGAGAGCTACTTCCTGTATACTCATGCCTATATACATTTCTGTGCCCTGCCATCTTACTTCCTCTCTCCACCCTGCTACATCACTTCCTCTTTCTGCCCAGCTCTGTAAGACCTCCAGACCTCTATGGTTAACTAGCACTGGGATTAAAGGCATGTGCCACCATGCCTGGCTCTATTCCCAGTGTGGCCTTGAACTCACAGAGATCCAGATGAATCTCTGTCTTCTGAATGATAGGATTAAAGGCGTGTGCTACCACTGCCTGACCTCTATATTTAATATAGTGACTGGCTTTTTCCTCTGATCCCCAGATAAACTTTATTGGGGTGCACAAATAAAATGTCACCACAAAAATGCAGAGAACAATTGATGATAGCATGCCAACCCCCAGCTGATACATCTACAACACAATTCCTTCACTTCGGCCACAGTAATCAAGATGGAAGAATCAAACAGATTCTAAGTCAGCTGTGAGAAGTGTCTTCTGGATATGAGAGGGAAGCTACACCCATGAAGTCTCAATCATCTGGGTGCTTTAACAAGACATTCATAGTGAAAACACTGCAGGCATGAGGAGAGGAATAGAGAGATATTCACAAGGACGCACCACTAGATTAAGAACTACAGGCAACCAATGGCTGCTGAAAGAAAGAGAATCGGTCTTCTCCAGGGACAGACTCAGTAGGGTATGTGTGTGTGTGTGTGTGTGTGTGTGTGTGTGTGTGTGTGTGTGTGTACAAAACAACAACAACTAAAGAAGAGATCATGAATTTGAGCGGAAGTTAGGAGGGTTGGAAGAGGGAAAGGGAAGGGTGGAAATGATGTAACACAGTACTCATATAAAATGCTCAAAAAACTAAAGCATTCACAAAGCTGTAGAGTAAATATATATATATATATATATATATATATATATTTACTCTACACCTTCCTCCTGAAGAGGACTAAATGGCTAATTTATCTTCCAAATAAGTTAGAAAATCCTATGGAATGGAAAACAGAAAGGAAGAGTGAGAACATAAAGACATTAAATTGCAAGAAAATTCTCAGGAAAAAAAAACAATTTCAGAGGGATATAATGAATGGAACTAAAGCCCATTAGTAGACTAAAGAATAACCCAGACACAATAAAATATAAAAACGAATGGTATTGAAAGATTTGAATACATACTCTAAAGTGTGATATGGAAAGACCTGAAAAGTAGAAATGTAACATAAAAACTGAACTACACAGCGGACACTGTTGCATATAACATCTGACTAGAATTCTAGCTTAGTGGTAGTGGGGACAGCACCTATTTTGTGTTCGTAAGAATATTAATCCATAGACTCAAGAAGCCAGACAAACAAACCGAGTAGTGAAGAATTTCAGCTCCAGATACACCATGACGATATGGAGCAGGACTGTCAGATTGAATCGCATTGGCATTGACTAATCAGATTCTGATCGATAAAAGTGGTTATGCAATATTTAGTACCCATCTCATCAACAGTTACAAAGATTAGATGAGCTAGTATCTAGCTAGAATGTTCTTCAGTGCTGCTGGATTACTTGAAACGTTTTTATCCTGAGTATTCACCAAGGTGTTAGGAACCAGAGACTGTTTCTCATTGTAATTGAATCAGCATGACTTGACTAAACTACATCAAGCCACATGTCCATGTATGAAGAGGGGACACTACATAGGAGTGACAGAGAACAGAGAATGCTTGAGATGCAAGAAAGAAACAACCATTGTGCTCTCAGTCTGCAAAGAGGAAATCTTGTGTTTCTTCATGGAGCCCAGATTGGAAAGGATCCTAGGTTCTCACCCTATTATCTAGAAGGCAAATACCATCATTCCAGGGCAGACACACCAGATGTATATCTCTAAGGTCTTGGCTTTATAATAGGAAACAGCCCCTGAGTATTCCTGGCCTAACTGAGGAAGATAATTCAATTGTAAACATGTATCCCTTACCAAATAGTTAGTCATGGAAATGCCAGATCACCTATGACAGGTGAAGCCTGTGATGGGGTATCCTGGGAATTTTATAGAAGCATTTTGAAAACCCAGTGAGGGTCTAATGCCCTTTCACAGGTGACTGGCACAGAAGAGGTGGAACTGGATTATCTGCCACATAGATAAAGTACATTTACATTACTAAAATAACAAATACACAGGCAGAATAATATACATAACTTACATAATAAAATACATAATTGCATGGAAGGAATAATAAAGGGGAAATTGGTCCTTTGAAAACTAATAAATTGACCAACCTCTGGACAAAATAATTTTAACAAGTGAGAAACATTCATGACAGAAGAAGAAACACAGAGAGCAGAGGACAAAAGATAAAAAGAAAATATTCAGAGCAACTTTATCAGTGCTATTAGATTGGGAAAACATTCAGCATTATATGGCCAAGCTGACCCCATGAATGTTCTGTGAACCAGCGCTTTGCTCCTAGTAATGTGACCTCCAGAGAAACTTGCACACGTGCACTGAAAAGCAATGTACAATAACAGTCCTAGAACCACTGTTCAGAACAGGAAAAAAATGTCTATGTACAAGAGAATGAGTGTGTTTGTAGTAACTTCATGCAACATGGATCAACTATGGAAAATCAGTGTGTTATACTTTATAACCTACCTTACAAACACTGTTGGAAAAATAGCAAAATTGCAATTAAATACTTACGATATAATACTGGGCACACAAATTCAAGAACTACCCAAGCTAAGGAAATTGCTTTTAGAAATGTGCATTCATGCTCATATAAAGAGGTTATTGTTAAATATAAAGGAATTCTAAATGGGACATTTAGAACAATGATTATGCTAGTACACTAAGGAAGGCAGAGTGGGATGAAGTCAGTCTACAGACACAGTTGATTCAAGAGCATTAGAAGGGGTATACATCCCAACATGTGGTTGAGAACATTGTGTTCATTTTTATGATCATGTGCTATACAATCAGTATTTACATTGCCCTTATAATTTTGTGTGTGAAATAACTCAAGACAAAAAGAATAATTAGGGAGAAGAAAGAAAGAAAGGAGAAGAGAGAAAGGAGCCAAAGAAAGAGAGAAATTGTTCATAAATTCTTTATGCAAATTAGTGGCAAGTTAGGAATGGAACAGAGAACAACCTAGACTCTCTTGTGTGCGATGGATTGCGTTTGGCAGTTTATATTTTCTTATACAATGCAGTGTTTTATACAGTAAGATGGGAGCAATGTCTCCTCAGTTAAAAGTGCTTGCTCCTCTTCCAGAGGACCTGAGTTCAGTTCCCAGCAAGTCCCTTAGGTAGCTCAGAACCACCTGTAACTCCAGCTCCAAGGTTTCAGAGGCTCTCTTTTGGACTACATAGGCACCTCCACTCACAGATATGCACATATTCATATAATTTAGATAAATAAAATATTTAAATATCTTTTAAATTTATAAATAAATAATAAAATAAAGAAAGAAAATGAAAAATATCATGTTAACATGCTATAATAAGAGCTAATAGTGTTGATGTTAACACTGTACAGCATGACTTAAGAGTTCTTAAAGGTAGCTTTAATGGCAGTATGCAATTTATACTGATTATAGATGAAATGTGACCAGCTCCCTCACTCTCCTGCAACTGGGATGTCCTGGTGACAATCAGCTGTAACATGGAACTGTGATTAAGTTGCCCTTGTCAGAGTTCTGTATCACAGCAACAGTAAAAGAAGCCAAGATAACAAATATTAAAGAGGATTAAAGGATTGATTGACAGGTCCATGGGCTACTCTAAAGACAAAAAGAAAAATGTACATTTACAAGCGCACATGCCTCTATAGCTCAAAACAGAATTACAAAAACAAACAAACAAACAAACAAACAAACCTCTCCACAAAACTCTCCTTCACATAAAGTCTCATTTATTGGTTTTAAATGCAGGGGGCGGGGTTTGTTACATAGACATCAATTCTCACACCACATCTTTCTTCTCTCCATGTTATGCTCCATTTAATGCTAATTAAATGCACATGTGTAAATAATGTAAGTGTTAGAGAATCCAAGGCACTCTTAATTCCTCCTTCACCCCAAAAGAGAATAAGGAAGGAAATTGCTAGCCTTCGTGGTGGACAGAGAATTGAATAGCAAAACCATATTTCACAGAAAAATCTAAATTGACTTCTCAGGTTATGAATACTTGATTATGGTAGATATAATGCAGAAATAGCCCCATTTAAACTCATTTGGAAAAGGCAGCCATTCATTATGCTGGGTCTAATGGCTAGAAACGAGAAAAGGGAGTCATTTTGAGCTGACAGCCCATACATATAGACAAATATTCTCACTTTTCTGTGGTCGAACAGAACCTACTGAGAGTTATGGTAGAAATGGTGTCCAAATGATGGGCAGAGAGGCACAGGGCCAAAAAAGACACAGTCTACAAAAATCCTAAAGGAAAACTTTGCATGTACCGTGTGCATAGGATTCATATATGCATCACAAAAAATGTTTTCTTTATGAATGTAAGGGCAGTCTGAAATTCATCTTTATTACACACCAAGTCAACATTTTAACATCACTATCTTTAAAAATGGAGGGAAGACAGAGGTAGATTTTTACATTCACTGGACAGTATTTGCGGAATTGGCAGTAATCCTGAAAACACCATGTTTCTCCCTTCAAAGTCATCTTGAAGACAGCTCTCTGCATTTTGACTTAAAGAAAATTGCTAGGGGGAACCCATACCTAATAAAATTGAGCAGACCAGTGAAGACAGAATCTCGCAATCTGTTTAAAGGAACCGTTTCACACAGACAGTGGGGAATGCAGCGGAGCTTACCTTTGTGATGGTTTGCACTGGAAACAGCTTTCCCCCACAAGGTCACTATAAAAATGATTATCAGCAGCTTTCCTTTTGTTGCCTTCTGTAAGTATCTCTTACTCATCCTGCAATACAAAAGCGACACAATTCCTCAGAACACTACATCACTGCATTTCTGTCATTGTACTGTATGCAAGTCTTTCATGATACCTTGACATAATTATCCCCCGGGGAGATGAATTTCTCACACTGAAGGTTCTGTTTATATAAACTGTGTTTGTTTGGTTGTTATGGTTCTTTGTGGTTGCTGTTGTTGTTGTTGTTGTTGTTTGTAACAGGGTCATACTACGTAGCCTGGGCTGGTTTTGAACTCATAAACTTCCTACCTCAGGTTCCCAAATGCGCATGAGGATTATATATATGAGGTACCATGCCCAACTATATATGAACTGTGACTAGAGAGCAGAAGTTTTCCAAACAAAGCATTTTGATATGGCTCAAGCATTAAGCAGTATCTTGCTGTCATTTCCTTGTTCATATACACATAATGTAATTTATTAAGAAAATTTAAGTCACAGTCATTCAGATAACATTGTTTGCTTTTCCCTCTCAAGATTCTTTCTTCAATTCCAGACTTCTAAGCATGTTCTATGGCATATGCACACCCACACACATACATACACAAAGTAATAAATAAATGTCAATTGCTTAGATAAATTCTGCTCATAATAAAGTCATTTAAAATTTACCACTTGAGGTGGGTTTTTGTTTTTGTTTTTGTTTTTTTTTTTGGTTTTTCGAGACAGGGTTTCTCTGTGTAGCTTTGCGCCTTTCCTGGATCTCTATCTGTAGACCAGGCTGGCCTTGAACTCACAAAGATCCACCTGGCTCTGCCTCCTGAGTGCTGGGATCAAAGGCATGCGCCACCACCGCCTGGCTTGAGGTAGAATTTTTAAAAATAATCCAGTAATATACATTTCTTACTGTCAGATAATCTTACCAAACTAATGGGTACCACTCTGCAGTGGGAAACTCAATGGTCAACTCATTGTACTTTACCAGAAGTAGGAGAAAAATGAAAAATCAGAATTTAAAAAATATTAACATTTTTCAAACTGAAATCATACAACTAAGAAAAAAAGATAACTGTAGCATGAACATTAAAAGTTCTTATTAATAAAAGCAAATCTGGAGCCAGGTATTGGGGTGAATGCTGGAAGATCAGAGAAGTAGAATAAGCCACAGCTACCTCGCCTCACCAGTTCCTCAGCTGATCCTGTTTTCTCAGACTGGAAGCCTCTGAGTCCTCATCCAAATGGATCTCAGCTGAACTGTGCTGCTCAAAAGCCTAAAAGCTTAACCAGCCAAATGCTTCTAGTTTCTGGTCCTCACGCCTTATATACCTTTCTGCTTTCTGTCATCACTTCCTGGGATTAAAGGCTCACTTTCTGGAATTAAAGGCGAGTGTCACCATGCCTGGCTATTTCCAGTGTGGCCTTGAACTCACAGAGATCCAGAGGGATTTCTGCCTCTGGAATGCTAGGATTAAAGATGTGAGTGCCACCATTTTCTGGCTATCTAGTGGCTGTTCTGTGTCCTGACCCCAGATAAGTTTATTAGGGTGCACAATATTTTGGGAAACATAATACCACCATAGCTAACTACTTTCTTATCAAAAAAGTTTAGCATCTACTTTGTCAAGCACCTTATACATTATTTCTCTTGTTCTTCAGAGTATAATGTCTACCCTTATTTTGCAACTAATACAATTTAGAAATTTTCTTCAGGTCACGTTTAATGACAGAACAAATATTCAAACCCAGAATGACATAATTCTAAAATCCTTATTTAAGCTACTACAATGGTGAGGGGAAAGTGGAACCAAAGGGAATAGCTTCCATGTGGTTGTATTTACAGGGAAGGACAACATCCACATCTGTCCCAGGACCTTTCAAATTTAGAGCCTATGTTTAACTCAACCTTTGCTGAGCCTACAGACCCTGGTCCTGCTTTGCTTCTAGCAGTGTTCCGGGTCCTTCCTGGTCATGTCTGATTCTTCTTTCCCTTGAGGTCACTGAATTACTCTTTTGTCAGAGCTTTACCTCCAAAACAATCTGTCTTCTAACCCACGACCCGGGGTAGCAAATAAATCTGAGTAGACAATTCAGAGCATTCTTTTACATGGAGAAAATAGCTTGATGTAGCATGTGCTTTAATACAGATATATGCTAATATTTCTTATCTTTGGAAAGTATACACATTATATGGTATAAAGGAAAGTTCAAAGGTTCAAAAACATCAGTTCCCAAGTCTCAGGGTTCAAATTCATGCTCTCTGGGTTCCTGATTAGGAAGGACTGTAATGGTTGATGCTGTCATCTTGGTAGTTACCTAGGAGACAAGTCACTGAGTTGACTATGAGGGCTTACCTAGATTAAATTAATTGAGGTGCCAATATTTATCCTAGCTTTAGATGGCAACATTTCATCAGCTGGGATCATGGCCTTCAAAAGAAGAAAGTGAACTGAACAAGAGAATTCATCACTCTCTGTTTCCTGACCAAAGGAACAATGTGACCAGAAGCTCCAGGCTCCTGTTGCCATGAGTTCCCCTCCAATATGGACTGCACCCCTGAATGGTGAGTCTAAATGAACCCTTTGTCCCTTACAATGCTTTTAACAGATATTATTGGCACGGCAACTAGACAAATAAATAACACAGTGACCCTTACACAACTTTACTTTGTTTGGATCCATAGCTTTCAAGCTTCTCAAGTAACTGTTGTGGTCCTCTAAGTAAGTTTCTTCTACCGTAGTATGGTATATTTTTGTGAAACATGTGGCCCACCTGTCACATGTCAAAGACAATGGTCAAAGGTTAAGACATTTGAACATTTAAATTTCCTTGCTGGGTCTTGTTTATTGGCTATATAAGTTTGAATAAATTATTTGGTAACTATATTTTCATTGGCAGTGTGATATGGGCTTTAATAATATTGCTCATAATTATAATAATTGGTATGAAGACTAAATGAAAGAGGCCATGTAATATTTGGTACCTCACAACATATATTAAATGTTAACAAGTATTTGATCATCTATTCGGCTGACGTTTCATTTCCCTACCTGTGATCGCCAAAGCTCCAGCTCCACACAACACTAGTTCAGCATTAGCAAAAGACAACATGGGTAAACATATTTATAAAACTCCAGATTCAACAAATTGAAAGGAATATGATTAAATAAGCCTCCTTGGAAGCATTTTCCAGAACTATCTTCTTACAAAGTAGCATAGTAGCACAGACTACTAGTATCACTGGAAAATCTTTTAGAAAAATTCTGAGCTATAATAATAATCTGGCTTAATACTCTCTCAGTAAACAAATGATCACTTTTAGTCTTTACATTATTTTTGTTTCATTCAGCTCTCTTGGTTTTGATTGAAATCCTCTTCTTGGTTTGGTTTTGTTTTGTTTTGTTTCAACCACTGTGCCTCCCCTTCTACATCCAACCCCACAACTTCATAGCACTGCTTATCATATAACATAATACAGAACAAAATCCATCTGACAGGAAGAGATGCTTAGCATAATTCTTGGTAGTAGCTTTGCCGATATAAATGGCCTCTGCTACAAGGTCAACGGCCCATCATTTTTCCATCCCATTGTGCACCCACCAAATGAGGCAGCAGAAGAGACACTGGTGACTAGGCATATGGGAAGAGAAACACCCACAAAGTCGCCAAGCTGTCAGAGGAAAGTGAGAGAGGAGAATGCAGGTCAACATCTGGAAGTCTGCAACAATACTATTTTCTCCCTCTCATACCACCAATATTTCTGTCCAGTCCATCAATCAATCATATCCCATTGATATCTCTTAAATCACACACTTCACCTACTTTACTATGATAAAACAAGGCAGACCACCAAAATTTCCCACTGGCCATAGCATGCTAGCCCTGTTTCCTACCATACAGCACTCCTCACACATGGTGAATTGTGTATCTGACCTTCCCAGATTTCCTACCCCTGCACACACATGCTTAAAGTGTGTTTCTGACCTTTCCCTGTTATATTTGCAATAGTCGGCAATTGGTTAAATATCATCAACTAAACATAATCCAACCTCTATGCCTTAGCAAAGCAAGTAGCTGTGATGAGATCCCCTTGCTTAAAAGCTTCATGTGATTCTCCAGTCTCAAAAAAAGCCATAGTTCTTATCAGAGGGTTTCTGTCCCCAATCTTACGCTCTTCCTCTTCATCTCTCTATCCACACATACTCATAGCCCAAATGTTAACTCAACAAAATTTTCTAAGGGGCCTCCACCAAAATCTCACTTCCTGTCAGCTGAAACCTACCCTCCCCAAATCCCCAAATGACTAACTCATATTCACCGGTCATCCTGCAGTTTAGAATTCCTCCTGTAGGATGATTTATTTATTCAAGAGCGTGTTGAATATCCTTTTGCTACAATGGCCATTCACTATACTGCATTACGATCCATTTGTTTACCTCGGTCCAGTCTAATATGAAAATTCTCTGTATAGAGATAGTGACTCATAGAATGTGCATGGTGTGATCCAATTTCCAGTTTAATAACTGGCAAACACATATTTGTTGAATATTGGAAGAACATTTTAGTCAAATGTGTCCTGCAGTTTTTAACACAAGAGGAAGCAAGGGTATGTCAATTATCTCTTTAGCACACAATTAGGAGGTGACAAAGAGGAACAGAGTGAGAAGAGACAGAGAAATGGGGAAAAGAGTAACTGAAAAGAAGGAAAGGAGTGAGAACTCAACTCTCCACCTTTCTTCTGACTTTAAATAATAATCAGATTTGAGCAAAATGGTGTCATGGAGTGATTAATAATTTCTGACAAAGGGACCAAGCAAAGGGGCAAGCTGAGAGGTACATTTCTTCTCACCCTTGTACAAGAGCAGAGGAGGAAACAGCCCTTTTTACTATTTTCTACCCACCATATTTCAAGACAAAGTTTTCTACCACAGATTAGAAAAGTCACACTCATCTGGAAAAACAGTAAAATTTCAGTGAATTGCCAGCCACAAAAACCAAGGCAACAGAAACTGCAAGCTCGTGGATAAATGCACACAGAAGATGAAACCTTG